TGGAATGTAGACGTTGTAGGTTGGTCATAACATGTTGGAAGACTGTTCGATGTGGATCGTCACAAGGACACATCCTCATAGGTTAGGGGTGATTGCATCCGAAGAAGCTGTTCCTCTCGAAACAGTCACCGCCGTAGTGATTTGTACATTAACAACAACAGCAGGTTATTAGAAGAGGAGCAAAAGTGACCTGGATCTCAGATCCTGGAATGCAGACGGAGGCATGGGATGAAATTCTGGGCTGTCTCTCGCACATAGATCCGGTAAGAGCTGGCAGTTAAGCCAGTGTGATGTACATGGGACGATTAGAAGTGTCGTATTCGTTAAGTAAAGGGCGCGTGTAGCGCAGTAGTTAGAAGTGCATTGCAGTACACACGTTGTGGACAATAGTTCTCTGAATTGACCTCCTATGGATCTGGATATTAGGTGATAAATGTGCCGTTTTCTTTTCCAGAAATCGCGAAGTTGTTTTACAGCACACGTTTTCCCTCGCACAAAAATACATAAAACAGGAGAAAGTTGCTGACTTTTCTGTGATTTCGCTTTCTTCAGAGCCGTTTCCTTCTTGCTTTCCACTGACAACGAGCAGCCGCTTCGAGTCGTATATGGTTGGTTGAGTTCTAGACAGTGTTCTTCACAAAGCAACGACTGTTCTCTATCGCTTCTCCACCAAATCCACATATGCCCTCCCAGTTTGCTATTGTACCGCTTTCACATAGCCTTATTGAACACCCTTTCAAGTACTTGCCTCGCAGCTGGCTGGAAAGAGCTACATAATGTGCTTGTATGAACTGCTCGCCCTTGTCTGACAGTTCTCGTAATGGATGGGGAGCTGTGAGCAACACCTACTTTATCACATCCGCCGTGACGCAATCAAATCAGCTTTCTCTAAACTAGAGATCTTTGTTGTGTTCAGTTCGAAACATAGACATCTTTTTATCATTACACCTGCACACTCGTTTAGAGGCTCCGTTTGTATGCGAATATCTGGCTTCATAGAAGCGTTGGTTAAAAATTACTCACGCCCGTAGCAGCGTTATTCTGCCTTCAGGTGACCCGCACAGATCGATAGTACCCCTTCTACAACACTTTGTTATCGCGCTTCATCTCATCCGCTTCTCGCTGGTTCGATTTCCTACGAGTAGAACAACCTTAACGAAGTCGGAAACTCCTGGTTATCGATGCGGAAGCTGTCCCAAATACTCGGATTATCCGCGAGTAGTCTACGGAAGCCACTATTGCTACATCAATCCATCGACTTGTCATTTCGCTACGCCTGGATCTACTGATGTCCTTTGACGTACCTGTGTGATGTGCGACTTATTCTGCCCGATACCTCGTCGCTTCACAGAACCCTCTTCCTCATTGCTAGTACTATTCCTTAGTACCTAGAAAACCCTTCATAGCGACCATGTTAACAGTTATGCTGTTTCTACGTATTTTATTATCATTGCAGTACTTATATAAGTTACAGCTATTACAACCTCAAATATGCCTTCTGATATGTTAATCTCTTCTATCGCTACTGTTGCACTCTATTTCACAGTTGTACATCATCTTATTCCAGTAACTTATGGCAAAATTACAGGAGATAAAGCCACGAGGCATCTGCAACTATCGCATGTTATCAACCGTTTACAGTCCTAATTCGAATCATCGTACCATTAAGAATACCAGAACATACCAGGTCAAGTAAAACTTGGAAAAAAGTTCACTAGTAAAAATAATAGTCATGTGATAAAGGAACATAGTTCCATCGTGAAAGTTTTAATCGCTCTTCGCTTATTTGGATACTTGGACGGCCCACATTACCTGACTGTGCGAGCCTCAGCATAATTTCCACTTTTATGGAGTTTTGCTTATTTAGTTGTGGTTCCCTGGAGGGACGAGGTAAGCCTGCCCAAGGGCTGCCTCAGGTCGTCACCACCACAGGCAGTCGCCGCCCTTGTGGAGAGGGAGATTTGCCACCACGCGACTAATTTGATACCAGGACGGTGTTTGTTCGTGTTATTGGTTTACTTTTAGCTGGACTTCCGGATTGAAACGTCGGACTTCTTCTCAGCTTGAAAGGCTCTACTGGAAGGATGAATCACCCGCTGTACATCACAAACACCTCTGTCATGATGAGGCGGTAAGCCGTTGGCAGGAATGCTGGAATAGAATTGCTTTTTAAGTCAGAATATTTCAAATTTCCCATTGAAAAAAGTAAAGGAAAAAAATTACATGTTGTACGTCAGAATGGAACATAACCAGAACATTAATGGAAAAACAAGAAGATCGTGTTTTTGCACTAAACGAAGGACATGCTGATGTCGGCAGGTGTCACCAAATTTGAACGTTATCCGTCTTCTGCAAGCACTTCACTGAATCCATTCTTAACGGGATTCACAAAATATTAGACGATCAAAGCGAACAATCGGAGTATGAGAAAGGACTCAGCATGATTTATCATACCCACACGAACCGAACCGAGTGATTAGACAGTACAACATACCACTCTGTCTCATTTTCATCCAAAACATTGTGAGCATACAGAATTCTGATTGACGCGACTTTCTCGATACTACGATTTGTTTTGGCGCATCGTATCAATTCGAAACCTGGAAGGTGAGCAAGACGAAAGATCGGTTTTGTCGAACGCGCTACTGAGCGTGTAATGCTAAAGTAACCCGTATAACGTAAATAAAAGACCGCGTCCAGTGTTCCGATATGCGTCGACGGTCAGCCGTCACTCGCCGGTCTATACGACAATTGTCGAATAGATTTGTAACAAAACCTTATCCCACCTTTCTAGGAAGGGAAACATGCTTCTCATCGACTCTGTGGAGGCAACAGATTCAACTCGGTTACTCTTCGATGCGACATGTGAAACGGATGCTGTGTTGGTTCACGTTAGAGCAACTGAATGTCAATAGGAGAATAAGCGATATCAGTGATTATAGCCATAAATATCTCTGTTCTTGTACTATTGTTTACAGAAATGATGTTGTGGGTAATGCTGAATTCTTGAAAACAAACTCGAACAGATGTGACCTTGTTAGAGCAGAACGAGGCCATCTCCTGTATTGTTTGCCACACGAAGAAAATACACAAATCGTTTTATTAGCCTTCTTGTTTACCATCGAGTAAGTGTATGTGCACAGCATCAATTTTCCTGCTGGTGTTAGGAGTTCCGTCTTCGTTTCTGCGGTGTACACTCTGCAACAGCATGAGGTCGCGATGCTGTTATGGTCTCTGCCAATTGCTCGAATGTTTTTACGTAGTCGCTGCTATCCTGAGTCATCATTTCAGCCACGGATGTTCGCACATCATCTGGTAGTGGTAAGGAAGACTGCTGCTGGACGACGTATGCCCTCATTTTCGAATGAGCCAGTGATGCCTCATTCAGCGCTCGTTCCATTAAATCGTAACGTCTGGAATAACTCTGAGATAGAACGATCAAAGGAGCAACAGATCGAAATAGCATCAAGAAAAAGAGCCGAATTAGAAGTCTAAGTGTATAATATCGCAATAAGATAGTAAAAACAGCCGACAGAAAACTAGCGGACAGAAATGCGAAACGAAGGACCCGCATGATGTGGTGGTAAACGCGCTAGACCCCGGAAAGTGTATTAGCGCGTCCGTTGCCTACCGCATATACCTGTGGTCCGCAGTTTTGCAAATATCTCAGTATCATTACGGTTGCACTTCACATAATATCCTGCCGTGAAAAATGGGTTATTTCTTTATACAAATTACGGGCGAATGTACTAAGTTAAACTTACTAGACTTCTGCTCTACTCCTGAAATGCTAGCTTAGGAAACCTAAGATTTGAGAGAATAATGAGAAAGGAAAACAGATGGTACGGTGCGAAACTGAATATTCCGACCCTTCCTTCGGAAGAACAGAGAAAACGGCTTCCTACCCGAGGGCATTTTCAACTGGCTGTGGATTCGACGACGTTAAAGTATTTTCACTTGCTCGAGATGGTGACAAGGACAAATCCCCACCGAACAGCTGATGCATCAATTCAGACCTGCAAAGTTTTTAGTTATCAAACAACATTTTTTAAATAAAGGATTAAAAGGATAAAGTTCTCGACATTGATCAATGTCTGAAGTATGTGCCATGCATTCGATTTCATTAAACATCGTTTGGAGGTAACTAAATGCATATCTGACCTTTACAATGACTCGCGCTGGCCTACCGATGTATCGAGCCAGTGCTGTTATCCTCCCAGACAAGTATGATACCAATTTGTCGACCTCGGAGAGATGAAGGCTTGGTGGACCACGGGCGCGGGGAACGATTCCACGTTTGTGTTGCATGGCGCCTCCGACCACTGCGCAACGTGCACCCACACATTTTAACATAACACAAAATAACAAACCTGTCCTCTTCCTGTTTATTTTTCGCTGGAGTCTTTTCCGGTGTGCGCAAAGAGCTCAAAAAATCGTGGGCAAATGATGTGGGGCACAACTGAAAGCTACAGTACACAGGGAGGATCGTCACCACCTCTCACCAAATTGAACAAACTTAGAAATGGGTCTACTCATTACCTCAGAAAAATCAGTTGCCACCTTCTCTGCACTATTTCCTTGATTTTGGTTCATCGCTCTTTCTACAGCACATCGGGCTTTATATTGGCTAACTATAATTTAAAACAAATAATTATTTTCAGATATTAACAAAACAATAGTTTATTATAATAACAGCAATCACCCGTCAGCGGAAATGGGCTGGGGAGCACTAATCGGCATTGAACATAGTTAAGCTGAGGCTGCAGTTGAAGTCACAATGTTTCACTTTCAATTTACTGTCTATTATTATCTGACGGCAGGGTATGATATGAAATACATCCACAAGGTGCCGAGATATTTGCAAAACTCGGATGCCAGGTCAGATTCGAATCCGCGATTATTTTTTGCTAGGGCTCATTTCAGAGTTAATGTAATTAATCGATAAGAGTTTCCCAATATGTGAAGGTTCTCAAAAGGTTGCGATAGGTTCGGTGGAACAACTCTCTTTTCAGTACGTGTTTGGTAATAGTAGCTATAGTGTCAAATCCGAGAATTTATGCTCGCGGTACAACGAACACTGTCTCATCTTCAGCACTTCTAAACAAGGCCAATCGTATTTTGAAACGTATAAATTAGAAAAAAGGAACACACCTTGGTTGCCTAGCATAATATCAGCCGAGCTTCTGGCTTCTACGCGCAGAGGTGCTGTGGTAATTTTTGGAGCAATAATCGATGTTATTTGCTTCCGATCTGATGATGGGGCAAGGTCTTGTGTTGATGCGCCACGTCTCTAAAAACATTTTTCTTACTTCCTTTGTATTCATGAGAATTTCAAGTCTCATGACATCTTTACCTGTGAACTCTTCTTTTTCCCTTTTAATGAAATTAACTGTTCTGTAAAGTTGTCGAATTCTTCAATGACCACAGAGCTTTCAGAAAGCACTGGTTGAACTACAAATGGAGTTTGTGGGCAAACCTAAAACACGCCAGCATACACACAAATCATATGCGGAGACAATTTTGATATTCACGCTGCACTGTCATTTAATGGCCTGTGACATAACCTCTTCTTGAGTGCCGTTAAGCGGTGATCCGGTATTCCTCTGAGGTGTCAGCTTGGTTTTGCAATTTCTTAGCAGACGAGACTTGAACGGTGGTTCATCTCTAAAACCAAATAAGGGTAGAACAATATTGAAATATCCGATTGAAGCAGAATTCTAGATTCTAACCGAATGTTGCCAAAGATGGCAGCAACTACGATACAGGGATCACGTTAGTGAAAATTTCTCACTTCCGCTCAGTTGTAGACTCGGATGGTCGCTTGCGAGTTGTATCAAGAATCGCCTCGCCATAATCCCTTTCTAGCAGCGAAACCATGATACGCCATGGTTCTCGTAATCGTGGAGCAGTTCTCACATTGTACACTAGTTCCACAATTGGCGTCATACCGCACTAAAAGTTGATTCTTCACGACTGGATGTTTGGGACGTCGTTTACGAATCAATGTCACAAACTCGCTGCCGTCATCTGACGACAAAGTTGTTAGAAACTGTGACAATATGAGATGAACTGATGATAAAAACACACACTTTTTAGTGACTGCAGATCTCTATCGAAGAAAACTTGCAAACAGGAGCAAACCAACGAAGGTCAACTTTTGTAACAGCATGCAAATCTTGTGGATTACTGCCAAATCAATCCGTCTCTTTCCACTATACCGCTGGGATACCAAACGAATTCTCACGACCGACTTTCTTTTAACCACAGCACTGATTGATAATTCGATGTTTTTCTTCAATAAGCAGTATTTCTTATTCTCTTATTCTTATCAATATTTCTTCTTCAATAATATAACAACCTCGTGTCTGCTTATTGAAGAAAAACATTAAATTAATTCTGTTTATCATCGCTAAAATTTCTTTTAAAAGAATTCAACAATGTTTCGCATATAACCTCACACCTGTTTACAGTCATGAATGTTGTATGCATTCCCTTCATAAAGATGGCAAAGCGTTATTGGGCAATTACTCTCCAATGTTCGTATTATTATCTTTTAGATATTACTATCTTTTCGAATAGTATCAGAGAAGTAGGGTCAATGCTGGCCTTGCACGACTGAAAAGGAAGGACAAGACTAAGGATGAACCGAGGAAATCACAAATCATGAAGAAGCAATAGTTCGGAAAACTAACGTTGAATTAACTTCGACATTGCTAACTTTTTATTTACTGCATAGCACAATTTCATTCACGCAGAATATTATGTGAAAAACAACCACAGTGATCCTGAGATATTTGCAAAACTCCGGACCACAGATGTCTGCAGTGGGAGACGAACGCGGTATTACCCTTTGCGGGGGCTAACGCGTTCACCACCACACCATGCGGGTCCTTCGTTTCGTCTGTCTCTCAGCCAGTTCTATCGATCAGTGCCATCAGCAATCACTTGTCAACGGGATTGATCTGTTGAGTACAAATCGGCATTGAACTTAGTCAAGCTGAGGCTATAGTTGAAATCTGTGTTTGCCTACTGTATTTATATTTTTAAGCTTGTATTTTTTTTATTTGCTGCCTGGTACAGTTTTCACGGCAGAGTATTATGTGGAATACAACCATAATGAGAAATTTCGACACTAATAAGCAAATTTTACCCTCTCTTTCTTGCCAAGTTTCGAGATTTTCTAAAAGCCTTAAGGCAGTTTGGAGGAAACCAAAAAGTGTAAAAGTGAATCGAAAGGGTGAGGACGAATACCTCGCTGTCATACATAATATAACCGAGAATTTCAGGCCACTTTTTTATATGAATGGACAATTTTTTTATACGAAACCCATCTGTTATCCACATGATAATGAAACCAATTCGTATAACAAAACTGAAGAACTTTCGCGTTAGATATGTCAGTGCGTCTCATAGGATTTGTATTTTTTATTCAAACCAATCTGTTCTTGTTCAAAAGTACAGAAAATATGGGATGGTATTCCAACCACAACGAAGAAGTTGCTTACAGTAAAAGGGAAACTCGTGTGTTGTTTTACGAGGAGAGACCGCGTATTTAACACCAAGCCAGTTTTCTTAGTTGGATTCCAGGAAAAAATGCGAAACCTACCAGACTTGGCTGAAAACCCATCTCGAGTAATAAACAACGATGAGGCAGTGAGAGAAGACAAAAGGCGATTCTATCAATTGCCTTCCTAACGAAGTCGACAGATATCCACAAAAAGATAACTTGACGAGTGTGTCCCACCCGTAAATCTGATTGCTCTCAATGAAGATCTACATGGTTAAACGGGAATCACGCACGAACGCTACCATTTCCGTGGATTATAGTTGCAAAGTTACGTCGAAGAATAGGATTTCCCGAGTGCGTACAAGTCATGGTAAGCCATCTAAGTATTCAAATAAAAAGAATAGCTGATCATACCAAGCAGTATATTTCGGCCACGATTGCATCTCGAACATTTGCTTCACAAAGCCCACTTTTAATAATTTCTTCATTCAGAACAAAGCTATGAGAAACTGTAACTGTGTACGAAGGATCTGAAAAAATTGAAATATCGCCAAAATAAAAGAGTATTTAAGAGTTATAGTTCTAAGCGACATATTTATCTTTAACATATGGAGCGGACGGATAACCCCATGTGAAATCTTCTCAAGTCGCTTCTTTTCAGATCGCTTATTTGAGGCTTTTTTTTCCAAGTTTTTCATTCAATCGGCATCATATCCACTTGGTAGCCAATGGGTACCAGTGCATAAGAAGCTGCAGTTTAGCAAGAGTTTTGAGTATATAAAATAATAGGTGAGCTCCCTGGATCCCTGAGGACGCAATCCACGCTGTTTTCTCCTTCATGGAATGCCTTGAATACGTATAAGATAGGGCGCCTGTAATCACAGAAGCATCCAGTTCGATTTTATTACCTCTGGACTTTTGAATTTACACGAAATGAATTATCCTTCAATCTAGACATAGCCTTAACCTTTTTTCTCGTTCGCTGAGCTGTTTGAACATCACCTCTGCTTCATCGGTACTCTTGGATGGCGATTTTGTTAGCAAAACCAAGGTTTGATATGCACACCCCAGTCTCGCCACAATCGGCTGACTTCACTGCTCACTGTAACGTACAATGAGCACCTTTGTTGAGACGATTTCACTCCGATTTGGCCAAATTTTCTAATGGCGATAGAAAGAATTCGGAGGAAAACTGCACTTCATTCTGCCGTTACGACAACGGTCAGTACAATTTTTATGTAGGAAGAGCCTACTACCTCGTCGAAGAGGGCTGATAGAAATGCATACGGTCCAACATTCTAAAAGGTCACTTCATAGTTGAGAAAAAATGATGCGACAAAGCGAAAGCGATATTCCCAAAGATTGTTGTGAACCTAGATTTGGTCTGGAAATAAGCTTTACAGCAGAATGCCTGACTAGCAGTCATAAAAAATTCTTGGCACGCCTGAAAGAGCAATCTTCGTGGACAGTACGGCACTCAACAAGAAAATTCAGCTGTAGTTATCAAGATCTCTTCTGTCACCTTTTTTGGAGAAGTTGTCCGTTTGCAAAGTTCTCCATTGGTCTAGGGTTGCTTCCTTGTGAAGATACGTCAAATGGATTGCAAAAAGCGCAAGTATTTTGTGGTCTCTAGATGGAAGAAGGTAAGGATCACAGCCAACACATCCATAGTATGTGAAAGAACTGTTCTTTTTTGAACGACTGTGTTCGTCAGGGCAACGATGCTGTTCATGATGAAGAGGACATAAAAATTCCTCTTCGGGCGAAAATCCCATAAACAACGATAGTACTAAGGTGTGTGCCAGTGTAAATTGATCTCAATTTACATCACTTGCAGCGGAAAAAGTAGTCGCATCGTGCGCCCGCCATATAAAAAGGTGTCGGACTTTGAATGCAAGGATTATTTAAGTCTAGGGTGGATCATAAAATTTCACCTGTATTCACTTGAGCGTTTCGGGCCCTTTTCGACTTTAAAACATCTCGATCCTCCCGTTCCTTTTTCAATCTGGCGAATTTAAAATTACTTTTCTATCGTGAAAAAAATAAATTCATGAACGCACTTATTCACTGAAAGTCCAACAGCTGGAGCCAGTTCGGTGGGATTAAGTACGATACGACCAACTTCAGTATTCTTCCCAGCAAACAAGCGCACTTCTGGTCCAGAGCCACAAGTTCTTCTGCTTCCATTAGCATCCTAAATTATTAAAACGACTCCGCTAGCAGTTATTAGTACTAGGAAGAAGTAGTGTCTGAAAAATTGTAAATTAGAAATTCTCCTAAAATGAAAAAAAAAAACGAAAAGATGGGAGAAACGTGCCACCCTATCTAGTACAGAGGACCACTTATGACGCAAAAGTTGGAAAATTCTTGAAATGCGGTCATTCGTGTTCAACCGAATTCGGAGAAGTGGATTTTGTTCACAGCTAACCTAAAAAGCAATAAGTATAATCATAGTCAGAGTTCAAATATGGAAAATAGAAGTCCGTTGAGAAAGACTTTTCAAAGGAAAATGCCTTTCAAAGGAACTCACCACATATGAGGCGTCTGAGTAAGTCATCGGCTTTAATGATACAATTAATTCAGATGGAAACTTATCAGCGTGATTATCTGAAACGACGTAAATTTATCTGCTCTCGAAAATAATGCTAGATCGCCCTATACTATCGATTTTTCCTAAAAAGAGAACCGTTAGGAATACCAGAATTCAAATGTCCTCCCTCTGAAACAAGAACTTGGAAATAATAGAGCTCACACTTGTAAATAAATCATCAAGACATCGAAAGAACTGTAGTAAAGAATAAACTGTACGGAAAGAGCGGAAGTACCGTCTACCCATGATGAATAACAACTGATTTTTTAGAAAACAGCGGAGAGAAAATGGGGGTTAGTTGTCTCAAGACGGAAAAAACGGGTAAAACGTGATGCTGAGAACTAAGTGGACAGCTCTTAGAATCACTAAAAGGTACATACTTGACACGATTTGTGTGCTCTACCACAAACTCACTATAGAAAAATTTGAGCAATGAAGGACACGGAGGGGTTTTGACCTTTATAGGGCCACTTTTCTTCTTCGACTTATCTCGCATGGGAATAGTAGTAGACCTGAAAGCAACAGGATTTGTTCGTTACAAATGAAACGGTAATGATCAAATAACATCCGACCCATGGAAAATCAACTCTTTCATTCGATCAGGAATGTACTGATTGGTATTTGTTCTTCTTCTCCACTCACATGCATTAATGGTAATGAACAGCTCCATCGCATCACGTCCTATGTCGCCCATCGAATCTTTAAAAATTACGCGGATTTAAAAGGTCTAAATGTGTTGAATCTATGTTTTTATCAAAGAATCATTTTCAAAACTGGTACGCAAATAGTTCATAAGATTAATTAGGTTCAATCGACAGTACTTAAATGTAAGCCTATACCTTCATCCAAAGAGATGGATTGCTTCACATGCTTAAGCAAATTAAAGTAATAGTTCTTGGTCTGATCCTTGTTTTTGTCCACTTTCCTCTTAGCCATTATACGCATAATTCCATCAAAGTCTTTCCCACACTAAACAAGGTCTTCATGAAAATAAAAAGTTAAAAAAATAAATATGCTGAAAAGTTCTCTACTTGTTTCAGTCCTTCGTAGAAAACCATAATCTCGTCATGGTTCCACGTTTTTGACTTTCTGGGAGGACGTTCCTCTTCATTGAACGATGGTCCGCTGGTCGATTTTGATGGCTACAACTTCAAAGTATCACATCTACTGTTGATGAAATATATAATATATCGAAGGCCTGTAAGATTACACCAGATATATATTGTAAAAAGGTCTCCATTCTTATCCCCATTCTGACTTAGTAGTGGTCCATTTTGGTTGAACTACTACGTGTTCAATACAGCGCTCATTATGATTTCATGAAGCCCACCACGGTTGGTTGACAACAGCACCATTTTACCTTCTAATAAAAAGAGATATAATCCAATTAAGTTAATAAGACCTACCACAAAAGAGTATTCGTTAACTCTGCTGCTATCATGGACAAATTTTGTGCCACTAAACTATTTTTTTTTTACGAATTGTCTTATCTATGTAGACGTAATTTACAATAATTGCAAAGAGCTAACAAACCACTCAAGATGGACGTGTGAAAGGCGAATGAAAAGCCAGCTTCGTTCCCAATTTCAGTAATGAAGGGATGATGAGTGCCTTCACCTTCTTGCTGGCGCTATGTTTAGACGAGTTGTTTTAAAGCGGTCATGAACATGTTTGTCTATTTCCTCAAACTTCGCTCTTTACTCCGATCCAACTTCTAGACGAATAGAAAAATTGGCATTATTTGGGCAACCCTTGACAAAACCGTATCATCTTGTCGCAGTAGGTACCCGAGAAACTCCATTCGTACCTGATGCTAGATCGCGCTGGCGTATAACCATATCCAAAAAACTAGATCACTGAAGAGACCTGTTAAAGATCATTTTAGCACAGTTTTCCCAGTTTCAATGTGAATATGAAAAAGTAAGCTTTCCTAAGCACGATTACTGTGTACCTACCACATGACATACCTTCCAACCATAAAAAAAATACAAATGAATATCACGAGAAACATTTCCAATTACGGGAAAACGAGTAACTCTTAGAGTTCCGGATAAACGATACATAAACTATAGCAACTCTGCTTTGTTCATGATGTGATGCGATGCTACACGTTTCCTCGAAGTTAACTAAGGTTTGGTAGAGTCCTGATTTAGTCTCGATGAACTGTAGTAAATTACAGCTACAAATACTTTAGACACGTGATCTTGAATCTCCAAACCTATGCTTTGGAAATATTGCAAAGCTTGAAGATGTACTAATATTAAAAGTTGCCCACCTCAATGTACAACAACCTCAAGTCAGCAAAAGAAAAAAAAACGCAAATAATTGATCAATTCCCGTTAATCACTCGATTAATCATTTCGGTTAACGGTGACTGTTGAAAGCACTATTAGAGCAAAAAATTGACTACGAGATGGGAAAAGCAAGCGAATAGGTCGGTGTGGTGGATAGCACTTGAGCAGCCTTATCGCAGGTTGAAGGCCACTTGAGGTTGCAAGTTTTGCTCATAACGCAGCATTCTTACGATTTTAGTTCAAACCATGCCATGAAAAAAGAATAGGCAATAAATAAAAAACCGAGAGAAACAACTGAAATGGGTAATAAAGGAATATTGTTCAGGTGAATTCCAAAGTGAATAATATGCTGTTTTGATAAGCAAGCGGGTAACCTACAGAATGGCGGGGAGTGGTTACAAATAGTTGCATTGCTTCCACCATGAAAGCATAGTTATTACGCCAAAACAACCAACCGTCGTAGATCAGAAAACCCAAATCCTCTGCCCAATTTAATCATTTTTTATTTACTATCTATTATTTTTTCACGGCGGGGTATGAAGCGAGATATAACTACAACAATGCTCAGATATTTGCAAAACTCCGCACCGCAGTCCCTGCGGTGAGGATCGAACCTTGTCATTACCCTTTCGGTCCTGAGTTTTGCAAATATGTTAGCATCACTGCAGTTCTATGTTTAACAACAATTTCGTAATATGAGAAAATTTTTCCTTCATCACTTAAACTCCGAATACTTCGGATCTTAAGAAATATCCAAGCAACTGGAACAGGCACGAAAGAAAACTTTCCGGCGTGTAGTAAGGTGTCTTTCACAGATAATCAAGATCCTTACGTAATGTAGTATCTTGACAAAAAGCATGTCGACACCTAGAAATACCACACCGTAAATTGAAATTTAAACATGAACTCACACCGGCGTTCAATGAGCAGTCGCCATTTGCTAATTCAAGCTTATTTCCAGCAGAAAGCGACTCAATTGGAGGGCGAAACGCCAATCGCCGACGTGACACGGGTTCGACAGTTTGACTCAAAGAGGTCTCATCCGGAGTGACAACAGTGTCTTCCTCGTTAGCATCAGGTCTTGTCGTCATACCTTGATCCTTAAATCTACAACGCGATGAAAATATAGAAAACATCTAGCTCTACAAATAGAAGCGATTTATGACGCTGTTCTAAGTGCTTATTTCTCCTTTGAGGGTACTGCAGTAGATAATAGATTTTATTTGGAAGTGGTGCGCGGGATAGAAATCGCCACAATGAAAGTCATTAATGAACAAGGTAGTTCAGCACCAAATAACTCCAACATACACCTCAACAACACTTGCCAAACATATAAATTGAATATAGCGAACAGTAATACTTGGAACAATCAGTTTTCAGTGCGCTTCTGCTGTTCGATCTCTTCCAGACATTTCAGAGTCGACAATTTATGAGAAAAAGAAAGAAAAAAACGAGTATGTAATATTTACGAACCAGGTTAAATTAGTATATCAGAGATCAAAAGGTATGAAGAAACAAAACGATCCAAAAAGAGATTAGACGCTTCCTGGTTTGGACTGAAAACACTGGTTTACACTGATTGGCACTACACGACAAACATTGATACTTCCTCCGGTTTCGAATGCCAAATTCCAAAGTTTCGATCACGAAGCCTGAAAAAAGACAATATAAGGTGAGCACACCCTCATCAACATGTACGTTGTACGACGGCATAACATTCAGAAGGGTTTTCGATGGTCGATTCGGATGCATAAATGAGGGTACAATGGATGGTGTGCATTGATTTCAACGCACTTTCTTCACAGTAGTTCTACAGCCACACAAAGTTATTTTAACCTACTTCTCAAATACTCCACCGAGTGTTCTACAAAGATATTTTGTATATTTGCACATTTTGTACATGTACAAAGGCTTTGTGCGACCACTCCTTCCATCTCATGGCAAAATACCAAAAGATAACAACCGCGTGTTTGGATTTTTCTATTCATACACAGGTGTTAGATATGTTCTAAAGTATGGATGGATGCACTGAAGGATACAGAGGATATATCGAGCATGGAAATCCGCGTAGATGAGCGCAAAAATTGCCGTGAAACCAATCCATAGAGCGAAAATCACAAGAAGGCGGGAAAAAAGTGTCGTTAGGTACGTTTCAACGAAATTTTCTATTGAGACGATCAAGTGCATGTGTAGGTTGGTCTTCCTACGCGTGACGAACGGTATCATTAGAATTGCGCTACCCGCATCCAGTTAACCGAAACACTTCGTGCAATGCTTGTACTTTGTGGTAATCCGCCTAGCTTGCTTTATAGCCTATTTGAAGTCACGATGCTTTGAAAATTCCCTTAAAAAAACGGAAATGTCAGTATTTGATATCGACCGGTTTCCTCCACTATATGACTGGTCGGTGGCATGGAAGCCTCTACATCGCTTCTGTTTTGTTGAGCTATCTCTTGCCTCTCTTCGATTTCTAACGAATCGTTGTGCAGTCTATTCCTATCATTTCTATCTATTATCATCAAATGGATTCCTCTCTGGATTAAGTTTTCAGCTAACCGGACGCTCAGAATACTAACTGTCGGTGCCCTTTTATAATCCAGAAAATCGTCCACGAGCGTCACCATTTCTGACTGAACGAAACGTCAAGTTCTGGATAGCCCTGACTTCACAGACCATTCTCCGACAAATGCACCAATCTTCACTGCACAAATTGAATAATTTCACTCTGTGTTAGCCTCCTGGGTAGAATGCATTGTGGGAGTTTGAGTGTCCCTATCAATTGCACCAAGCATCTTCGCTGACGTTATTAGATGATTAAACTATACCAAAAGCTGTTGGGAAATAAAATACGCCGATCGATCTTTGAAGACATTTTTTGCCCACCATGGGTTGCATTGTTAGACAAATTAAGGTGGGTCAACATTAGCTATGTTCAAGGAAGCCAAAGCTGTCGATTTGTGAACCACTACACTGTTTGCCCATTCATCACTGAGCACAACACTTCCGCACCCGTCTTCGAATTCAAATCCTTGGAGAAAACACGAAAACTGGCATTGTCACCTTCTTTTTATTCATTCACAATGAAAAGTAGATTGCAAATACAGTTTAATTTGTCCTCCGTCCAGATAACAAACTTGCAAAATCCTGCTTTCTAAAAGTAACTGGTTAATCTTTCATTTCTAGTTGCTATAATGGACCACTGTTACCGTATATAAAGACCGGATCAAAATTCATATTTGATACATGATACTTGAATGACCCATCCTCACTGCTTGTGCGGACCCCAGTATAATCTCTATTTTTCGGAGATTTGCTGGCTTAGCCATTTTGGTTCCTTGGAATTTCAAGGTTAGTCTGGGCAAAGTCTGCCCCAGGTCTTCACCACCACAGGCTGTCGCAGCCTTTGTGGATCAGAGGGAGATTTACCACCATGCGACTTTGATTTCAGGACGGTGGTGGATCCTAGTATTGGCTTACTATTAGCTAGGCTTCCTGATGGAAACGCCAGACTCCTTCTCAGCATGGGAGACCCTGCCAGGGAATGAATCACCCGCTGTACAACACAGTTCAACACCCAGGAACACCTTCCAGCCACGATGAGGCGGTAAACCGTTTCGAGGATTTGGTTTGGTTTTTGGTTTCATAGTCCCAACCGAAACTGATATTAAATAGTACAGAAATCTATTCAACATATGGCACAAAACCGACGACCAAAACTCGGCAGCATCGTGCTTAACGGCGGACAAGTTTTCCTATGAAACATAAGAAATACAAATGTCTAGATCATAGACGAATGGAAGGACGTCCAGTATACGTAGAATATTGAAAATAACACAGAAATTAGAAAAAAAACCAGTAGAAAAGCAAAAAAAAAAACGGCATGGTTGCCTCTGGAAGGAACACAACACGGTGACTTTAATGTGCAGTGCGCTCGGTGTAAAATGAGGCCTCGTCATGAAATGTTTTTTAGGCGTCTACTTTAAGACAATGAAATATGATGCTCATTGCTGTCATTTTTTACTTACTGCATATTCTTTTTTAATAGCAGGGTATTATGTGAAATACAACCATAATGGTACTGAGATATTTGCAAAACTCCGGACCGCTGGTGTCTGCTTTGGGGATCGAACACGCTATTTACCCTTGCCGCGGGCTAACAAACACCAGTGGTCCGGAGTTTTGCAAATATCTCAGTATTGTAATGGTTATAACGCTCATGTCTAAACCAAATATTCCGACATTGAAATTACATCTGAAAATTGGGAGATACTCAAAGATGCTGGAGCTAAATACGATACGTCGTAAAATTACCATGTCTCCAGAGAATTTTTCACTCGTTCATACTC